CTGACTTCCCGCAATGATGGATTGTGACCTAGGGGTGTAAGCTAAGGTAAACCCTTCCTCCCGTTAGGTTGCTTTTGGTTTTGGTATTCAGACAGCAACAGAAATGAAGCTAGAACAGTTAGTAAAGGTGCTTGCTGCCAAGACTGGTAACCTGAGATCAATCACCAGGACCCACATGGTGGAAGGAGAGAACTGACTCCCACAGATTGTCCTCTTGTCTCCACACCACACTGACACACACATGCATGCCCACTCAGACAAGCACACTCGCACACACATATACACACATTCATTCATTCATTAAGTAATTAACTAAATGTATTTTTAAAAGAGTTTGGTTTGAGATGTTTATGTTGAAGCATCTAGTAGGCATGTTGATCAAGCATGGTGAGAAAGCAGAGCTAGGGTTAAAATTGTCACCGTAAACTTATTTCTTTCAAATAATTGCGAATTCTAAAAATTGCATTAAATTCATGGAACTTTTTTAATAATTCACAGAATGGAAAATACTATGAATATAGTCCCTCTGTCTGGCAATCCTTAGGCATCATTAACCCTCATGGCTAGCTGTCTAGTTGCAAAAAGAAAATTCTGAAGAAAGACTGAACACTGAAACATTATAACTAATATGATTATAGCATTACTGGCTGAGTAGAAAAGAGAATCTGACAGAAATAAGAAATGGTTGGACCCAAGAAGTTATACAAAAGTCTATAAAAGTAAATGTTGAACCATAATTATCTCTAATAACAAGAAGTAAATGGAATTTAAATTAAAATTTAGGTAAATGGAATTCTTAGGCACTAATTTGAATTTGCCCCGAGTACCAGCTTCACTCCAGCACCACAAATGTTTCTGAAGTCTTACATTCACAAAAGGCACTGCTACGCACAGTGGGGGGAGTGAAATCCTTGAATATTTTAGTGAATTGCATCTAATAAGAATAAAAACATTTCCTTTTCTAATAAATAAAAATTCCATAAGTCACTGAAACGAGCCACAAAAAAGCCAAAGGTCTGGGCCTGGGGTATGATCAGTGGTAGGACACTTGCCTGGCAGATGGAAGGCCCTGGGCTCAATCTTGGCACTGGAAACAAAAACCAGTCAAAAATCTGAGACCATAGATTTTTTTTTTTCTTAATTAAAGTCAGAAGACTCCAGAAAAGCCTTTGGAAGGAACTATTTGGATCTATGACAAGGAGCAAGTGCTCTTCAGACCTCCACATATGACTTGGCTTCAGGTCCCCAACACAGGTCCTGGGCCAACTCCTGCCAGTCAGAGATAGTCACAGGTGAAGGGTAAGACTTGCACTGAAGAGCCCTCCCCTGAAGGGAGAACATGAGGATGCATTCCAGGAGGTCCTTGGCAAGAAGTAGAAGCGAGAGCTACTTCCCTTCTACAGGGAGGAGGTGCTTCCACCACAGGGAGGCAGGCTGAATTTAGACCTGTCCTCCAGCCATGTCCAGAGCACACTATTCAGTAGGAACTGGGTGAGTGTCACACTGCTTGGAAATTAACCAATTTCAGCCCCTGTGTGACCTTACTTGGGTAACTTCATCGATTTGGCCTTTATCTTCTTTATCTGTCACATAAGGCTTATTCAATAAGGTACTTTCTTAAAGATAGTTGCTCCCAACCATAATTCTGAAAACAAATATATATTAAATATATATATATATATATTTTACTATGGGGCTCAAAAAGATTATTTTTATTTTGGATTTTAAATTTTAAACACAAAATTAAAAAGTTGTTTACCACTGATCTGTACTATTTGAAAGGCTCTAGAATTAAAAGTCTTTCTAGACAAAGTTGAGAGCTCCTCTAATATCCTTATGCAATAGCTCTGTGGCCTTGAGCTATTCACAGTGCAAATAAATGGCATTTGCTTAGGTGGGTCAAACAGCCACAGTTAGCACAGTTGGCACAGAGGCCTCTCTGAGCCCTAGATTTTCCTTCCATGTTTATTTTATGCCACTGGAATAGTGGCAGGACATTAATCTGAAGAAATTTTCTTGGCTGTAGCCACACAATAGAATGACCCGGAGGCAAATGAAGTCATGTTAAAAAATCAGGAACTAGGAGCTAAAGCTTATCAACCAGAATGGCTCACGTGGTGGTCTGTGGGACCAGGACATTGGCAGTGTTTAAAAGCTCAGGTTAAGACTTTTTTTTATTTTTTTGAATTTAATAACCACATGATTAGAAGAAGTATTTCATTACAGCTTTAACATATTCAGTAACACATTCCAGAGCAAGGATACATCTCTTTCAAAGGTAGCTGTAAATTTTCAGGTTCACAGTTGAATTAATATAGTCATACAATATTGAACTCAGTATAAACCCTGTAAGACATAAAATTGACTGAGTTTTTACCCTTTAAAGAAGATCTCCATTTCATTTTAAGATATGCTGATTCCTACATTTTTAATGCTACTAACACGTTTGCATGTGTCTTTAATCTCAATGTATCTGATTATTACTAGTCATAGTCGGTTACACTCAGATCCTTAGTACCTGAGTATGGATATAAAGTCATCAGGTAGATTTCACTGGTAAGGTTTATCACGTCTACTACTTAACATGAAGTAATGTTTTTTTAAATTTTTAATAACTACATGATTAGTTTAAGGCTTTTATTAGGCTCTTACTATGAACTCCCTTCAACTCCGAGGTCCTTGTGATCTCCATTGAAAGAATTCAGAAAAGAGACACAGATCATAGTGTAGAAGGTTGTTGAGGCCCGTGCAGGGTAGAATAAGGCACTGAAGGGTGAGAGTCACCTGGGGAATTTCCTCTATTGGACTGGCCTATGGGTATGACTGTGAGGCATTTTCTTGACTGCTCGGTGATGGCACCACTGTGGGTGGTCACCCTGGGCAGATGGTCCTGGGTTATATAAGACAGCACCAGGTGAGCACCCAGAAGAACAAGCCAGTAGTCAGCTCTCCTCTGTGGTCCACTTCAGTTCTTGCCTCTGTGTCTTGCCTGAACTCTGGTCCCGGCTGCCCTCCATGATGAACAGTGAGCTGTCAGGTAAAATAAACCCTTTCCTCCTCAAGTTGCTTTCGGTTAGTGTTTTATCACAGCAAAAGAAAGCTAACTAGAGCACACTCTCAAGGGTGAGAGTGGGTAGTCGCCACAGACCATTGTATCAACCTGTATTTTTAGGTAGACTTTATACTATGTTTTTAAGTTTCTGAAACAGGGGCCAAAGACATGGCTCAGTCAGTAAAGGTACCTGCCCCACAAGCCTCGTGACCTGAATTTAATTCCCACACCCACATAAGGGTGGAAGGAGAGAACTGATTCTACAAAGTTGTCCCCTGACCTCCACACATGGTGCACCATAGTACACACACACACACACACACACACACACACACACCATACACACAGAAAATAATAAATAATTTTTTATGTTTCTAAAATAGCTTTCCTGAGAGGTGACAACCCCATTTGGACTGACACTAATAAGGGGGTGGGGGAGAGGGAACTGCATGAACTTGTTCCTTATCAGAAAACCTCCTACTAGAAAGTAATCGTATAGGGCTTGGGGTTCCTGGAACCAGGGTTACACACTTATCCATTAGTGACTTTCCTTACAGGACTTTGGTACTATTCCTCTGACTAGTAATTAGAGTCCTGAAGTTTCACAAACTGTTGACTTGTGGGGGGAGGGGGTGTTCAACCCCAGTGTCTCTCATCCTGCTAATATCTTGCTGACCACCTAAGAAGACCTCTGAGGAGGGTAGCATCTAGACCATAGGAGTCACCCCTTCAGTGCAAACACATAAGCTTTTCAACTCAGACTTCATTTCTTTTTTTAATTTTTGGTTTTGGTTTATTTATTTTTACTCATATTTTATGTATATGAGTATATTGCCTGAATGTATGTAAGTGCATCTGTGTCATGCAAGGCCCATGTAAGTCAGGGAGGGCGTCAGATCCCCTGGAACTGAAATTACAGACGATTGTTAGATGTCATGCGGGTACTAGAATTCAAACCCAAGTCTTCTGCAAGAGCAGCCAATGCTCTTAACCACCGAGCCATGTCTCCCAGATCAAGATTAAAGCCAGTTTCATGCATTGTGTCCATCCTATCAGCAGGGGTAGAGAAGGGGAAAGGCGGCATGCTCTCTACATGAGCTTCCCTGAAATTGCACACACCCATCTGTTTAGCTCCCATCTGCAACTTTTAGTCCAATGGCTGTGTCTGCCTTCAAAGGAATTTGCCAAATATAACTTGTGCTAAAAAGCAATGTTCCCTGCTAAAAACTGAGGGCTCTTGAAGGGGAAAGGGCAAATACTTAGAAAGGACCAACTGTCTGTGCCTCTGGTCTTGATCCCCTCCTCAAGCAGCCAGACCATAACTATTAAGTTCCTTGTAAATGAAGTGTTTTACCGCCGTCCCTCTGACATGAGGCTATTTTTCTTCCATCCTGCATTTCAAAGGTTCTGACTTCTAGTGCCCTGAGAAATCCAGTCCAAAAAAAGAAGTACTCCAAGGGAGCTCTTCAGAAAGCTTAGTCCTAAATCTCACGCTGCCCAGTATAGTTGAGGGAGTATTCCCACGTGGAGGGAAAGGACAAGCCTCTCTGCAAATCAATGTCTGCAGGTTGATTCTTATGGCAAGAGCTTTCTCTTGCTCATTCTAGAAGCTGCACATAGATTTTCGCTAGATCATAAATATGTTGAACACTTTATTATACTAACCTTTTAAACCAGTTTTCTTGAGTACTACAAATCACAGTTCAGAAGCAAATTTCTAAGATTCCAGGGCTCCTGAATTCCTGGATGCTCAAGTTAAATATCTTAGATTATGAGTGGAGGGTTATGAAGACTTTACTACAGATTCATTGCAAAGGCAAGAAACAAAACCCTTTGGCTTAGCTCCTGGTTTGTCTCTTTAAAAAACTCTTTACTCTTTAACTGAGCCAAGGATAAGGTGGTAGTTAGACTCCTTCCTTGTATTGACTCTTCCTCCCTCCTTCCCTAGTGTTCCAGGACTTGTGGAGGAGGGGTTCAGAAACGAGATGTTCTTTGCAAGCAGCGCATGGCTGATGGCAGCTTCCTAGAGCTCCCAGAGACCTTTTGTTCAGCCTCCAAACCTGCCTCCCAGCAAGCCTGCAAGAAAGATGACTGTCCCAGCGAGTGGCTTCTCTCAAACTGGACAGAGGTAGGTGGAGAGAATGAGATGCACGTGTAGGGAGAGAAGTGACCCCAGACACACGCATAGAAACAATAGAAGAGAACAGAACAGCTCTCCTGACATTGTGGAGTGGAATTTTGTAAGCATTATTACCATAGGCTGCACGCTAACGTAGCTTTTAACTAGGCCATGGGGACCTGGCTGTGCAGCCAGCCCTTATCCAGCAACTGAAATTCAGAAGTTTGGGATTACAAATGGGGTCCCCCTGGAACAAACCCAGAACACAGGTTCTTCACCCCTATCTCCCCCAGCCCCCTCCTACTAACCTCCCTGCATCCCTACTCCCAGATGTTTCTCGTCTCTTCTCAGGAAGAGCAAAGCCTCTATTTCTTCTCTTCCAAGTTACTGGACAATAAAGGATGTGATTTATTAGAGAAAGAAGGCCAAGGAAATCCTGTCTCTTTACTGTTAGTTTCCTGGCTCTAAACTTCAACAACTTCCCAGCAAAAGAACTTGATTTCCCCTGTTGCCTCACATTTAGGGAAGTGATTGCCTGACTTTCTCTGGAGTCAGGGGGTCACTAACTTACACCTCCAACTAACCTTTTTTTTTAAAAAAATAGTTCCTGTTTAACCCTGGCATGAATTCATTAATGTTTAACCAGGTTCAAAGCTTCAACTCAATTGTTTTCAGCCTCTAGAATTTCTGAGTTGCCTTTGACTACCCAGGTCCATAGACCTATGTATCTTCTATAGATTATTGCCTTACAAGCAAATTCAAGCAACATCAGAATCACTAGGCCCAAGGTGAAAAATCTCCATCAAAACCATAGTATAAGACCTTCTTCATTCTTGCATATAAAGCATTCATGTTGGCCTTCAGAGCCCCTTGTGCCCCCCCTTTTTTGGTAGAATATACATACAACTCACAGTTCAGAGCTGCTGCTGGTTGAAATATGTCATAGTGGTACTTGCTGCCATAGGGAAAGCAGCCTGTGCAAAATTAAGCCACCTGCCCATCAGCATAGGCTCTCTGAATTCTTCAAACATTATCACCTGTGTAGAGTCCATCTGATAAAGCTTGCTAAAGTGTCCTGCTTGCGAGGGAACCTACATTACCATTATAATTTGTCAGCATTATAATTTGTCAGCAAAATTATAACTGTGTCTCACCCAGATGTTTCAGATCAGAAAGGGGAATGATTTTGTGTGTGTGAGAGAGTGTATTTTGGAAACAATTTTATTTCAGCAGGATGAGGGAATGAAGGGTAGAAAATGAACATGTATATTTAAGTGTGTGTACGCAAGCATGTTAGTTGATAGTTTTTCCATGGAACTGTTCTTTGGGGGTGTGGCGCTATACATGGGAAAAAAATACATAAGACATACCTGTGTAGAAAAGAGCCCTGATACAGTACCAAGTCAGAAAAGTCTTCCTTCTGGGGAGTGTCTATCAGATGGTCAATTATGAATGGAATACCAAGGATGGACTGTGTGTGTCTAACTGCCCCCATCTTCCTAGAGCTTGTGGCCTTTGGAGGATATGGGACATAGAATATTCATAGAAAGTGACTTTCTGCCTGCAGTTTTGAAGGCAGGACTCATGTGGCTTAGGTACTAAGGGAAGAAGACTGCTGAACTAGATCACACTGAGCAGGCCTTCAGAAAGAGAGTCTGTGGAGATAAGAATTCAGATGCAAAGACAAGCAAACAGGGTTTCAAATCCTGACTGACCTTTCCTGACAGAATACCGTAGGGCTCATTACTCAGCCTTTCTAGTTTGCTTATCTGTCGTGCCTGTCATGTAGGCAGGGGCTTGATTAAATGAAGCATATAAAGTACCTACATCCAGTTAAAGTTAACCCTTGTTATGACAAGGGCTCTCTATCTTCTGGGCTCTCCTTCAGGAAAAGAAGAACTCAGGCAAGCACTCTTCTCCCTTGAGCGACTGGGCACAGGGCCATATGGCCTTCCATGGGTTTTGCTACTGGTCCCAGGATGAGAAAGAAAGTCACATTTGAGAACCTAGGAGGAGTTAGGCCTTATCTAAAATGTCTAATTAGATTCTGAGCTATCTGGGTTGATGAATGGAAATGAATGGGGAGGGGCTGGGAATGGTAAGACGTAATCACCCAAACATTTCAGATAATCTCAACCTGGCACCATGGAAACATACCTATAGAGGGAGGATCTCTCCAAGGCCCCAGTTAGCCCTGTCACTCTGTGGCCCCTGGCTGAGAGGCGATGACGTGCCATGCACCCTTGTCCCCTCGTGACTCCTTTTGAAGAATGATCTATGGGCATTTCATCCTCTCCATTCCTAGCCCAATCTCATGGTTATAGCATGAAATCCTATAAGAGGCAGAGTTAAGTCAAAGTTTTACACATTTTGAATAAAATTACTTGCAGATTTGCAGATTCTGTTCTGGGAATAAGGTCTTTCCAAAGGTCATCCTTTTCTTTAAAGGAGTCCCTTCAATCTCCTGAACAAGTTATTAACTAAATTTAATTCATATTTTGTGAAAAATAAAAGAAATTAAAGTCAAGATAGTCAATTTTCGAGCTGCAAAGAGCTTAGAAGATGTTATAAAGTAATTTCTCTCTTTTTTTTCAGTTAAAGCTTCAGGACCCTTTAAATCAAATAAAATTTGAAGTCAGCAATCTAAAATGAGGCTGGGGAAATAGCTCAGTAAGCAAGAATGCTTGTTGTCCAAGCATGACAACCTGATTTCAAATCAGCACCCATGTAAAGAGCCAGATGTGGTCGCAGCGCCTGTAACCCCGGAGCTAGGAGGCGCAGGGACATAAGGATCACTGAGGCTTGCCAGCTGCCGGCCTAGCTCCTGGTTCAGTGAGAGACTCTGTCCCAAGGAAATAGGTGGAGAGTGATAGAGCAGGACACTGGCCATCCCCCTCAACCTTCACATGTGCAGACAGGGGGCATTCACATACACATACACACATGCACATATGCCACACACACATAAACCACATATACCTACACCATACATATATATACCACATACATATATACACATATACATACATACACATATACACACATACATCATGCACACACACCACATGCAACAATACCACACACAGATATACATCATATACAAAGATACCACATACCTACACCCCAGACAAATACACAGAGACACATATACACACAGACACAGGCACACACCACACACATGTGCACTCCAAACACATACGTATACCACACAAAACAATTTTTTAAATCTGAAACCTGAGATGAGAGGTTGAAGTGGAGGTGAGGTGTCAGATCTCCAATGGAGGACATCTCCATGGTGCCCATGTCTGGGTGTCCCTGTCCCCTGAGAAGCAGCCCCTGAATCACGTCCTCACTGTGGTTACCAAGCATGGCTTGAAGAGCTCTGCTTCATCTTAGCTTTCCCATCTCAGAGATGGGAACTGAAGCTAGAGAAGATACTAGACTACCAAAGCCATGGCTGACCTCTGGCCTGCAGTCTGGCTGTTTGTCTGTTTTTCCACTTGGCAGCACCATGCTTTTAAAGCTGTCAAGCTCCTTGGCCCATCCACTTGATCCCTGGATCTGGCACTGTCATTTACATCACACAGGTCACAGGTGGAATCTGGAATCCATAATCATCAGGCAGCACAAGCAGAGATTTGATCTCTCTGAGCTCGTCCTCATCTTTTGCATCTTGAATTTCTCTCGGGGTGGTAGATATCACAGCATAGCCCACAGATCAATGTCATTTCAATGTGTTAGCCTATAAAACTTGAAAGTGGAAGATAGTTTTCTGTTGTTTTTACTGTCATTTTTCCAGTGGCATGCTGCCATAACCCAGGTTCAGACCTTCATCATCTCAAGCAGTGCTCTGGTGGCCCCTCCACTAACCTCGTGTTTCCCCTCCCTTCCATACACGCGGCCAGACTCACCTTCTCAGACACCTCTTTCATCATGTCACTCCCCTCTTCATGGCTTCCCTTTGCCCTGTGGACCAATTCCAAACCTGTCTGAAAATGAAAGGTCTCTGAAGTCAGGCCCAAAGTACCTCTCAAGCTCCTGACCACTCTCACCACCCATCTCCCCCCCCCAGTCCTCAAACAGGTTTGCTTCTGCCCTAAGCCTACATCAGACTTGTATACTGAATTCTTCTGCCTTTGTTATAGAAATTTCTGTTTGCCCTACTTAACCCTGTTGCCCTATTCTTACCCAGACTCTACCTGTCTTCAAGGCCAAGGTCAGGAAATCCCTAGTATACTATAAGTATTTAATAGCTGTTAGTGTTAATTTTATACTATTTCAAAAATTACCTTCTAGTCTTAATAAATTCCTTAATTATTGTTCTATAAACTTATTAAGATATAATTTACCTGTTATAAAATTCAATTTAGCTTACTGTTTTTAAAATATGTCCAAGTTTATAGCATATATAAGGACAACACTCCTTTATGAGGCTGGGTAATATTCCATTGCATAACTACATACTTTGTTTATTCATTCACCAATTGATGGGCATTGAATTGCTGCCACTTTTTGGTTATTACAAATAGCCAAATGCTGGGGCTACAGAGATGACTCAACAGTTAGGAGCTCTGGCTGCTCTTGCAGAAGAACCGGATTCAGTTCCCAGCACTCACATGGCAGCTAACAACTGCCTGTAATTCAGTTCCATGGAATCTGACCCCTTCTTCTGACCTCTGCAGGCATTGCACAACACAGGTGCACTTGCATAGGTGCAGGCAAAACACATACTTCTAAAATAAAAATAAATTTTTAAAAAATTTTCATTGCAAGTAGCCAAATGCTGTCATGAATATTTGCACATAAGTCTTTGTGTGGGTGTATATTTTCATTTCTCTGTGATACCTCGGATTAGAATTACAGGGTCCAATAGTAAATTTTCTCTTTTACAAAAAGGCTAATAACTGTGCCTGGGAGTGGATGCCAGGGACCACATCATTTTTTCACTGACTACCAGCAATGTATGGGAGTTCTCATTTTCCACATCCTCACCAACACCTGCTATTGTTTTGTTGTTGTTGATGTTATAATTGTTCTAGTGTCTTTGAAATGATATCACATTATCATTTTGATTTACATTTCTCTAATACATTGTTTCCTTTTTTAATAATGCTTTGGCTTTTGCCTCTTCAGTTGGATGACAGCTCTTTGAGGCTAGGAATTACCTTATCACATTATCATTTTCTTTTACATTTCTCTAATACATTGTTTCCTTTTTTAATAATGCTTTTGGCTTTTGCCTCTTCAGTTGGATGACAGCTCTTTGAGGCTAGGAATTACCTTGCACGCCATCACAGAGTAGATTCATAGCAGTTATCTAATGGTAGGTATATCATTCATTTATGAAGAAAGGTCAGCATTGTCATTTCTGTGTATGGCACTTAAAATATAGTCTCTCGTTTAATTCACAGGCTTGCAAGATAAGTACAAGAAATAGAAACAGATTGAGAGGGTTTAAGTAGCTTACCAACTATTGCAGTACTGAGCTAGGATTTGAATATAGGAATCTGAATTTCTGTGACTCTAAAGCCTAAGCCGTACGTAAGTAAGAACAGGTAAAATGCCCATTGGAACCAATACAGGGTGTAAAGTGTGGCTGTGAGATAGACAGGCGTTCCACACTGCTATATCATATTTCTCTTTCAGTGGACTGATGCTTTTCCTGGCATATGTTAGTGAATTTAAGGAACCATACAGAATAACAAGCTCCAGTTGACTGAGTTGTCATGCATTTATCCTTTCTTCTTCCACCAGTGCTCTGTGAGCTGCGGGGAGGGCACCCAGACTCGAAGCGCCATTTGCCAGAGGGTGTTGAAAACCGGGGTCTCCACTGTTGTCAATTCCACCCTGTGCCCTCCCCTGCCTTTCTCTTCCTCCATAAGACCCTGCATGCTGGCAACTTGTGCAAGTGAGTATGTCAGAGCTCTGGGGATGGAGATATGCAACCCACTTAACAGTAGCCATTGCTACCAGACAGGGTCCTTCCCTGAGCCCAGTAGGGGATTGTGGAGCAACAGAGCCTGTGGAGGGCTGTGGAAGGCTGTGGCTGAAGTGCACAGCTGGAGAGAGAAAAGAAATCTTAATCATACAAGTGTGCAGGCTGAGTTCTCTTCTCCACTGGAAAAACAGTTTGCAGGGCATACATAGAGCAAAGGTTGCCTGCTGGCATACTGAGATCTGGAAGCCCGAGGCAGCACATGCTTAATGCAGTCTAATGTTGTCCCCTCTGGGGTTTGAAAGTACTCTTAACAGATTTCTTCTGCTTACTATTAGTCCCTGGAGTTATAGCACTTCTGGACTCCCCTCACCATGTACATTAGGGCCCTGGTGCCCTTCAGGACCCTGAAGGTAGATATTTAACAGAGAATAGTCTCTTCTTTGTCCTCTGCCTCTGTTTATGATTCAGATTTCTTCTTTAAATGCTTTTAATGAAAGATGCTGCCTTTCCCCTGGGCTCCAGGCATCTAGATCCCTACAGCTCAGCATCTAGGGCAGAAAGGCCCTGCAGCCCTATGGGGCTACCCCACACCACACCTCATTATTGCTCCAGGGTCTGACAGGAGGGTTAGCCTGATGATCCACAGCTAGTAGCCAGCCCCTCCCAGGTTAACAGGAGGTGGTAAATAAGAACCCTGGTCAAAATCAACCTTGAAGAGTTCTTCCCTTTCCTCCCTTCTGTCCCCTCTCTTCTCGCCCCATCTCACTCTGGTTTTTCCTGCTCCCGGTTCTCTTTCTCCTTTGGTCTGGCATCCCTCTCCAACCAGGGCCTGGACAGCCTTCCACAAAGTACATTCCTCACATCGCAGCTGCTCGGAACATATACATCCAGACCCGAAGGCAGAAGAAGCTGCACTTCATCGTGGGTGGATTCGCTTACTTACTTCCCAAGACAGCAGTGGTGCTCCGATGTCCCACACGCAGGTTCCGCAAGCCCCTCATCACCTGGGAGAAAGATGGTCAGCATCTCATCAGCTCTGCTCACGTCACCGTGGCCCCTTTCGGCTACCTGAAGATCCACCGCCTCAAGCCCTCGGATGCAGGCGTGTACACCTGTTCTGCGGGGCCAACCAGGGAGCAGTTTGTGATTAAGCTCATTGGAGGCAACCGCAAGCTTGTGGCCCGGCCTCTGAGCCTCTGGAGTGAGGATGAGGCCCTCCAGCTGAGAAAGGCCAAGCCAAAGGAGGCCTTGCAGACCCACAAACACCAAAACGGCATCTTCTCCAACGGCAGCAAGGCTGAGAAGCGTGGCCTGGCTGCTGACCCAGGGAGCCGCTACGATGGCATTGTGTCTCTGCTGCTGGAACAGGGTGGCTGGCCGGGAGAGCTCCTGGCCTCGTGGGAGGTGCAGGACTCCACGGAAAGGAACGCGTCCTCCGAGGAGGATCCGAACACTGAGCAGGCCCTCCTGCATCTCCCCTTCACCATGGTGACCGAGCAGAAGCGCCTGGATGACATCCTCACCAACCTCTCCCAGCAGCCGGAGGAGCTGCGGGACCTCTACAGCAAGCACATGGTGGCCCAGCTGGCCCAGGATCTCTTCCGTAGCCACCTAGAGCACCAGGACGTGCTCCTCAAGCCCTCGGAGCAGAGGTTCTCGCTGGTGGCCGTCCCGCCTCCTCGGAAACACGTGTCTAGCTTCAGCAGCCCCCTGCGGAGCTCCTCTGCAGAGTCTGGAGGCTCTCGCAGGCCGTACAGAAAGCCCACCATCTTGCGGAAGATCTCAGCTGCCCAGCAGCTCTCGGCCTCAGAGGTGGTCACCCACCTGGGGCAGACCGTGGCCCTGGCCAGTGGGACCCTGAGTGTGCTGCTACACTGTGAGGCAGTGGGCAACCCGAGGCCTGCCATCAGCTGGGCCAGGAACGGTGAAGAGGTTCAGCTCAGCGACAGGTGAGCCTTGTACATCCCTGGTCTAAGAAGGGTTGGGAAGCAAATGCCAGGGACCAGCAACCATTTGGTCCAAGCAAAAGCCTAGACCAGCCAGGAGTCACCTGGCTTTCAGGCCCTGTCTCTGCAGGACAGGCTGTTGGAGTAAAAACAAAGCATTTAATTTTTCTAAATAGTGCACTGCCATCCTTCTGAGCAGCACTGCACACCCACAGCTCCCCCATAAGATCTCAAAGATGAATGGGATACCCTCTGGATAGCTTTGAACTCTGGGTAGAATGACATCATTCCAAGCCAAGACATTATTATGGTTCCACCTCCCGAACTGAACCTCTGAAAGTTTGACCATTAGGACTATCTGTCCGTTCGCATGGTCCTCCATGGGCTGCAGGGAAGCAACCAGCACCTGTATTCTCATAGGCAACCGTGTCCTCTCTCAGGGCTGGACAAGGTCATTCGTTCCAGAAAGATTTTATTCCCAGTTAGGTCAGTTACTATTTATCCTAATATCTTACAGTGTAATGTTATCACTAAGATAACCACATGTATTATCACTGGGTTCCATGGACCATAGCCATCCATAATATGAAAATCAATAATGGTAGCAGAAATAATAACAATATTTTTAGCACTACTTGTACCAAGTACTGTGCCACATTTTCAATGTTCATCGTCCCTTTAATTTATGTACTGGCTCTGAAAACAGCAATGGCCTCTAGCAGAGTGGAACAGTGAGAATTTTCTGGGTAATCTCCAAGCTCACGTCTACCCCCTTCTCTCATTTAAAAATGACCGCAGAAGGTCAAAAGTCAAATTGTGATGAGTCCAGGAAAATGTCCTCAGAACAGTAACTGGTATTGCTGCACAAGTCATTACTGAGTGCTCCGCAAATCTGGGCTTCAGTGGTCACATGTGTTTGAAAAGTGCTCTGTTAGAGCTAAACAGATATTTACTGCTGTGTTTTATGTCTATTTTTTAATATTGTACTTGATTTTTTATTATAAAAGTAATAAAAGGGATATAAAACAATTCAAATCATATCCAAATCTATAAAGTAAGACATGCAAGTTCTTCCTTACCCCCCAGTCCTATTCACCGAAGGCAATCACACTTAATAATTTGGTATACATCCTTTTAGAATTTTTATGTGCTTTATTGTATTATATAAAACCATACACACATATGACAGGGTTTTTAATGGGAGATTAGTCATGTTCAGAAATTTTGACTAGGTTTTTATTTCACATGTCTAGGAGACATATTTATAATAGTGTATAGAGATCTGTATCACCTTTTTACCAGCTGATGACTATTTCTGAATGCACTTAACTATCCCCCAACTGGAAATTGTTTGAAGTTTCCACTTTCTTAAGTCTTTCAAGCATCCCAATGGGCTTTGTGACTCTCTAAAAGAACAATACAGTATGCAGTATGTTTTCTCAGTAATCCTTTGATCTCTGAAAAAAATGGCTTAGTAATCTCAGGAGCACCAGTAATTCTTGAAATGGCATATGGGAAACACTACCTCAGCCTTTTACCTCACCTTAATGGATACCAAGAGTCTAACTCCGGGAGCTTTAAGATGGAGAAAGCTCATCTTGTTCTAACAAGAAGGAATCATGTTAGAAAAAGCAATATGGCAGCCAAAGGATACTAAAGGTGTGGCACCAAAGCATCAGAGGTCAAGTCTTGGATCCTCAGTCATCCAGGACATTGGTTGGGAACATGGTAGCATTGAGAGAGATGCACCTGAAGGTCATGGACAAGTAGGTCACCAGCAAGACTTTTTTCCCTCCATCTAGACTTAAAAATGTTTTGCAATGTAAATTAATTGTATGCAGTTGGGGAAACGTCCAAGGCTGTTTCTGATCTTTACATTATAATGTTTGCAATTTACTCAGCTGGCTAATAATAAATAGAGGTATAATTTAGTTTTCTATAGCATTTTCCAAGTTTTAGTTGAGAAACAAGAGTGAACGAGGGTATCAGTACAGCATGAGTCAATGAGCTGCCATGGAGACCACTTTGCCTTAGCTGTTGGTGACCTCTCCCATGTCAGCTGGCATCATCGCTGTGCTGTAGTGGTATGTTCAGAAATGCTCATTCATTTTCAGAGAAGTTCAGTTTAGCCTGTTTTTTGCTTAGGGCCCAAACCCACCTTTCTAGGAGTCTGCAAAGCTGCCTGTTAGTCTGTAGAACTTTGTAATTTATTAAGATGTACAATAAATAGCCTAAACCAGCAAGAGCAGGTCATAGATGAGGAAAGAAATCTGTCATTTCTTTGACTTCTAAATATACAAAAACTTGGTATGACAGAAATTAGTTTGATTAAAGGATGTAAAACAATTCATATATATCTTATGTTACATGTAAAATTTACCCATTGACATGAGTTCACCTGATTCTTAGAAACACATGTCAGCTTCTCAAGCAATAGTTTTCAGGGTGCCCTGGGTATATTGTGACAGCCTGGTTCATCATAATCTCCATTTTCTTCTTCCTTTTTTCTACCAACACTACCATAGCAGACCTTAATGTTAGATATTGAGGATGGTGAAAAAGAAAAACTCTTTACCTACTAATAAAACTCAGACTTTGTAGGAAGTCAAAGGGATGAAGGCCGAATTAGTCATGCTAACAGGGAAATAGGTCCAAATTATTTATATCACTAGGAATATTGTGATAATGAAAAGAACAGAAGTTTGTATTTCTTGAAGTTGGCATGCATTTAGTGCTCTACTCAAATGGCACATATCAGCCAGGCATGGTGGCAGACACCTTTAATCCCAACACTTGGGAGACAGAGGCAGGTGGTTCTCTGTGAGATCAAGTCCAACCTGGTCTACATAGCAAGTTCCAGGCTGGCCGTGACTACAGGGAGACCCTGTTTTGAAAAGATAAAAAAATGGCATGCATCAGAGAGTGTGATCACTCTCATGATCACACCACCTAAAAGAGGACCCCCCCCAAGTTGGTCTCTAGCTTTTTAATTCTGGTATTTAATTTATAGAATTTTATCATTGTTTTTTATGTTACATATTCACTTGTTGATTGCCTACCCATGCTGGTACAGCCTTTCTTTATTTCTCTTTTCCCAGTGATAAGGATAGTAACTGACACCAAAAAGGTGCTAAATAATCAGGAAGGAAGGAAGGAAGGAAGGGAGGGAGGGAGGGAGGGAGGGGAGGGGAGGAGAGGGAAAATTAAGCAAGAAAAATGTCAGATGGCACTAGGTGTTTTGGTAGAAAATTACAATAGATGTGTGATAGAGAATGCCATAGTAATCACTGTAGACCTACATTCTGAGATGATTTCCTATAAACCAAGATTTCAGTGATGACCAGTGCTCAGAATGTGAAACCAAGAGAAAGAGCCTTTCTAAGCAGAGGGGAAGCTGTGTGAAAGCCCCAAGGGAAAAGATGAGTGTTTTGGAAACCTAGAAGAAATTCATCTGGCTATGTTGTGGGATGGAGTGAGGTTGGGCAGCTGAGCAGAGTCCTAGGGAAAAGTTTAGGTTTCTGAGGCTCAGGAGAAGATTTGGAGAGCCGTAGGAAGGAAGTGGGTGGCATGATCTAATTCCCAATTTTACAGATTCTCATGGGCTGTGTTGTAGCACAAGAATTGCAGCAAAGCACGAGGAGAGGCCTGGCAAGGAGTCCATTACGGTAGTTATTTGAATGCCATAAAGATGTGCTGGGTGGTATAGTGATAGGTCCCAGCTGATGAGATGATAAAGAAGCTATGAACACTGCTTTGTAGATTAGAAACTAGCATCCTTGTTTAGGCCTCAGTTTATAGAAAACTCCAAGTGGCAGAATACTTCTCTTTAAATTTCTTTTTTTATTTTTATTTTGAGAATTTCATATTAGTACTGTATTAGCATTATTTCTACCTCATTCTTTCCCCCCTTCAACTCTCTTCCCATATCCCCCTCTTCCTCTCAATTTTGTGACTTCTTTTTTCATTATTATTGTTTTATGTATATAATATATAAAACATATAGCATATAAAATCTGCTGCGTCCATTTACTTATGTGTATACAAGCCTAGGTGCTTGTATGTACATGTGCTTAGGGCTAAGCACTTGGGATTTGATAACCTGAAGAGCGTGTCCCTGAAGCAAACTGGTTCTGTGTCCTTCAGCAGTCATTGATTGCCTGTAGCTCTTCATCTAGAGGTGAGACCTTGTGAAATTTCTCCTGTCCACGTTGTCCTGTCAGCTGGTGCTTTCATTATGCTGGTCTTGCTTAGGCATCTATATTGGTGAGATTTCACGGTGCAGCTTCCGTGTCATGCCTAGAAGACACTGTCTAGCAGCAGCCATCCTGGTCCTCTGGCTCTCACAGTGTTTCTGGTCCCCCTTCTGAGATGTTCCCCGAGCCTTCAGTGCAGGAGTTTCATTGTAGGATCCCCACAGCCACTTATTTCTGCATTTTGACCAGTTGTGGAACTTGGTAATGGTTTCTACCCACAGCAAAAAGAAGCTTCTTTGATGAGTGATGAGGGCTACACTTATCTGTGGATATAAGAATAAGTATTTAGAATATAGTTAGAAGTTATGTCTTGGGCTCTCCTTTACGGCCTATGCCCTCTCCAGCCTTGAGTACTTGTTAATAGTAACTGTCAAGAATTCCCTCCTAGAGGGAATTAAGAGCGGGCCTTAAGTCCAATTAGATAGCTGTTGGTATCCCCCAAGATAAAAATGCCACTATTGCATCATAAAGGATATTTTGCAAAGCCAGTCCTCGTGGCTCATAGGCTTTACAGATGGATAGGACTATTGATTGCTCTTCCATTGCAGCTTGCGTAGCACCTACGAGTGCTAGTCCTCAGGAAGAAGGCTTCCAGGTCAGTCCCAATTCAGTTCCTCCAAGTCCTGTGTCCAAAGTACGTGGTGTCTTCAGCAATAGGATCTTATTTTCAAGTCCAGGAAGGCAACCAAGGACTATGGCAAAAGCCTATCTTGTTTAGAAAAACTGGACGAGGAAAGGATTCCCAAGTTC